ATATCAATAATTAACCATGTAATAATAATAATAATGATAATCACTAGTATTACCATCATAATGATTATGATAACAGAAACGATAATGTTTTCAAGAATAGTATAGCAGTAATAACAAAAATAATTATGAAAATAATATAATAAATTACAATAACTGAATTCACAACGATAATATTGATAATTGAAACAATAACAAAGATGATAAGAAATGATAAGTAATAAAAAAACGATGATAACAATTAATGATATAATATCATTAGTGCTAATACTATCAATATTACATTAAAAATGATGATAACAATGAAAATGATAAAAAAATATTAACACCATTCACAACAGTTATAATGCTGATACTAACAACAAAAATGATAACAATTATAATAATCATAACAACAACGATAATGATAATGATGATAATAAAATCTATGATGATGAATCATGAATAGTAGAATTAATAATATTAATAAAAATATTTTCTTAACATTAATAATATTGATAATAACAATGTTAAAAATAATAATAATATATTAATGAGAAATAATGATGATAACAATAATAATAATAATAATGATAATAATAATAATAATAATAATTATTATTATTATTATTAATAAAAATGCAAAACAAAATAATAACAACAACAGTAAAACAATAACTAATAATGATGCAGATAATAATGATGTTAATAATGGAAAAAAAATATAAACAATAATGATGATAATAATATTGGGAATAATAAAAATAAGAACAACAGTAATGTTCAATGTTTTAAAGAAATAAATGTGCCTAGACATCAAAGGTCATAAGCACTATGTTAAGGTTTAAAGTAGTTTTTTATTAGAACAAAATGTATTAGATTTCAATGGTCACATGGCATTATAAGATAGTAAGGTAGTGAAAGAAGTAGAAAGAGGGGGGGGAGGGGGTAAGAAAGGCAAGGGTGAAGGACAAAGGGTGATTAAATCAAGTGGAGAGTATTTATTCCGTGAGGAAGTTGGACAGGTTGGGGGGGGGGGGAGAGATGACCAATAAGGAAAAGGTACTTGAAAAATATAAAGCGGAGGCAGGATAGTAAGATATGATGGACTGAAAGAGGAACATTGCATGTGGGGGCATAGAGGTGGGTTGGAGTGTAACATAAGGGTAATGGTTAATGAACCACAAAGACTGTCGGGTATTAAGGTAGGTCAAAAAGTGTGGGTAATATTCCATGGCTGGAATACGTGAGCGAGGTTGGTGTGGTGTAGACACCGTGGCGGAGAATGCTAGGGTATCTGACTGTTCATTGCCGGGGATTCCAACATGGGTGGGCACCCAGCAAAATCTGATATGTTTATAGACAGGTAGAACAACCAGTCCTGAATCTCATAGACAGGGGTTTGGTCGAGTGCATAGACTTTATAAGAGATAGTGAGTTACGAGTCAGTAAAAATAGTGAAAGAGGAGGAAGGGAGTATATGTATTTTAAGGCAAAAAAGAGTGCGTTCTGTAGTAAGGTAAGTTGGGAAGGTTACTACGAAACCAGCACCGGAGGTGGATTTGAAGCCATAAGTGTCAACATGGATACTGGAGGAGTGAAAATGTGTTTTGCCAACTGCTTTGTAGCAATTGAAATTGCTCCTATAACACAAAAAATGGCATACAGTACTATGGATGTATGAATGGGTTGTGTTGGGCTGGACAAATAATTGGGAAACATAAGTATGAGGCCTATTGAAAAAAAAAAAATATATATATATATTAAATGTATATATATATATATATATATATATATATATATATATATATATATATATATATATATATATATATATACTTAGTATCAGTAGAGGTGGTAAGACAGGCATTAAAACTAGGAAATCAAGTTGTGACTGGAAAACTACGAAGAATGAAAAACATAGGAAGAGGAAAATTAACAAACACTATTAAATAAGCTTCGAAGATAATATGGAACCGCATTTCTTCGCCATGTAAGAAGTACTGTAGAAGGGTTGAGGAATGATATTTATACAATGTTTTTTACACTTCCTCATCAGAAGGAAAACCGCAGCATCAAATGTGTCAAAAAAAAAATAATAATAATAAATAAATAACAGTGACAATTGGTGTTATTACCAGAAAGCGATAGCGAAAGGGGAAGAGCCATCCTCCCAGAAGATAATGAAAAAAAAAAATTCGAGTTGCTAACTGAACTTAGTAGTATGGGGAGAGTACAGCCGTCTTACTTCAGATAAACTATTTTCTCCGTGTTTGCTTGGGAAAACCCAAAACCCAAACGAACACCTGCATTCGAGAGTATGGCGATACTGCTCGAAATACAAAGGAACAAATAAATCAATCCTGGACTTTGCAACAGTCAGAGCAGTGGTTGACTATAACGTAGGTTACAAAGCCAGAAATATTCAGCCATTTGCTTGGATTACCAGCTACAAATAGTGGAAACGAAGGCCTCGAAAGTAGTGTGAGAGTTAGAAAACGAAGTAAGAGAGAGACTTTACTCTGGGTAGTTTTAACTTTTAAACGGCTTTTTAAATGCCAGCGAACTTTAAATGTTCAGTTACAAAAAATCGCAATTAATTACACATTAAATAATTACTAAGGTCTCTATTTGAGAGGAAGCGCTCTAAGGAACGACTTTGGGAAGTAATAGTGGAGTCACTCCAGAGGATGTGGCAACAGTTAAAATCTCCTACTATCAGCTAAGGTGGTTGGAGTTGGGAAAGTAAGATTTCAAAGACTATAATGTCAACAGGTAAGGAAGGGAGAAACATACAAACAATTGTAATCCAGCAGAGAAAATTTTGGATAACTGTAAGTTATAGTTCTTTGTAATGGAGGTATAACATGTGGTGTTTTATGATGGACAAGTATGGAGGAGGCAGACAGAGAATGAGGGTATGATACAAAATGGTAATTGGGAATGGGTACTGGAGGATGTGTGAGGAAGGTTTCTTTGAGACAGAGAATGGATGGGTTATAAGAAGATAGGTGACGAAGGTAAGGTCTGTGAGAACAGAAACCTTGAATATTCCTTTGCAGAAGAGTTATTATGTAGTTATCAGTGGGTAATATGGGCAGAAATGGGTGTCGAAGAAGTAGAAGAAAAGCCTGGGGAAAGAGGTAGGGGATCAGGGGGAGTTGGTGTAGTGTCAGGAGGTTCACCAGGAAAAGACACTATTATGACAAAAGGAATTCACGTGAGTATCCAGGAGGGAGTGGGAGGGATAATAGGGAAGGAGATTGGCTTCGTGTATAGGGAGAGGATGGGGTGTGATGGGAGGGAGAAGGGGGGGAAGAGGGAGGGTGGATGTCAGCAGTCACTTTGAATATAGAAGAGGGGAGGAGGAACTGAAGGATGGTCGAGAGACAGGAGTATTTTCTTTTGTCATGCTTTGGTAGTTTCGGATGTCCTCAAGTGCCTATAGGGGGAGAGTTGGATGGGGAGTTTGGGAAACGAAAGATTTTTTTTATGGAGGTGAGGAGATAGGTATCTGAGGGGTAGAGGATATAGATGTTGGAGTGTATATTATAGGAGATGGGGTGGAACATTTTGTATTGTCTCGTACGACAGGTAAAGCGAGGAGTAAGGAGAAACATAGTAGCTTTGGAAATTGGAGTATCTGGATTTATAACGGAAAAAAGGAAATGTAGAGTAGAACTGGGAAGCTGGGTAGGGGGAAGTGGTACTCAGGAAGCTATAAAGACTACTTGTACAGAGGGGATAAGAGTGGAGTGAGGGATGATACTGTAAGGAGTAGGGAGTAATTGAAAATCTTGTTGGCATGTTTCCTGTCTGGCCTCTCATAGCCTGAGGCCAAGTTTGTATCTGAGACCTACCTCCTGCTTAAACATGTAGGCAGGGTAGCCCTTATAAAATACATTATGGGAACCAGCACAACTAGCACATATGTGATTGTACAGGGCAGTTTGAATGGTCACGACCAGGTTGGGCACATAGAGGGTACGGGTTAATATGGTCTGACAGGAAAAAAAAATCTTTAATACAGCCCTTATGGGGAAGGTCATGTCCACGAAAGGTAATCTTGGCCTCGGGGGAAATAGTGTTGCACTGTACTTATACTACATCATAGTCAGTGAGACAGGCAAGTAGGTTGTCTTCAAAGTCTGACCAATCTTTGTCGTAGACAAGGTAATCAATCAGGGAGATGGAAACAGTTCCACTACAGGGCAGGAATAAGTCTGTCAGTGAGGTCAACCAGGGTAGATGGTACATAGGCCAGTAGCAGTGATAAGGCATGAGCGATCGGAACTGCAGAAGGAAACTTTGCCTACTTGTTTCTGGAGACATTGATAGAAGAGGGGGGGAGGGTATTCTCGGAATAAGGGGCTGTTGGGGGAATCACACGAAAAATCGGTCCCACTTGGCTGGGCTAAATAGAGTACTCAAAAAGGTTTGTAGGAGTAGGAATTGTAGAGAGGCGAGGACAGGTGGAGGTACTGAGTACTGAGTGGATGAGGGAAATAAGGTTGAAGAGTTGTAAAAAGGGAGGAGACAAAATGAAGATGATTGTGCAGGAGGTGCGTTGGAGGAGTGAGGAAAGGGTGTTTTTTGAAGGTTGAGATATAACCTGGGTAAATGATTTTGGATGGGTCAAGTTAACAGCACATGTTGAGCAAGGGGGTGCAGTAGCAGCCTTTGGAGCTGTGATCAAAGGAGAGTTAGATTCAGAGAAACCAGTTGATAAAGGGACAAGACTGAAGGCCCCTAATAAGGATACAAAATCTTAATTACAGGCCATGGTAACCCAAGTAACCAAGGGAATACCGTCTGCATGACTTCCTGAGGCTGTTCATGACTGGCAAAAAAAAATATCATAATCATAAAAACTCTCAAAAGTACAAAGTAAATGTAGATTTCTGTTATGAGAGCACACTAATTTTAAATCCATAAGTGATCAATCATAAGTTCATTTGGCGAACGTATCTTGTGGCTTTGACTATACTCACTGGAGGAAATTCAAGAGGTTTACTAAAACAAACTTGTGTATAACAATCCATTTACTTAAATATGTTTGTTAAAGCTTTGCTTTCTCTCATAAATTAACCTATTGAATTAAATGACATATGGAGAGTATTAGTTTTTTACATCGACCAATATGAAAAAAATGCATGCATGACAGTTGATGCACTTTACATCCAAGTTAAAAATAATCATTCAATGTGAACAAAAGAATCATCTCAGACAAGATATACAGTCTATGTAGGTCAGTTCAGTGGCTTTACTTTTGAGGTTGATATTCTCCCTCTAGTATACACCATTACATATGCAAATGATATATTAATTGACTAGGATCAATGCCCTTCTCTTATATTTTGACAATATCAATGTAATATCACACGGCTGACAGTATGTACAGTTACCTGGAATTGTAATGAAAACCTGAACACAGTGAGCTGCATCATAATTCATACCCATTAAACATTTCAAGTAGAATGTTAATCTGACAATATGAAATCAGTGGAAAGAGATGGTGTATGAGATGGAAGCAATGACAGATTAGCATCGACCTCTTCAGTTCCAGTTGGGACCCCTTCAACTAGCTGATATTGAGTCACACCGCCCACTGTTTGTTGCAATACAAGCCGCCCATCAGGTGTCTGTAGCAACACTTCTGATCCATTGAGGATTGGCGCATCTGTAGAAAGGTTGTCTTGTACTTGGTCACTTGCCGAAGTGCTTGGGACAGGTGTATTGGTGTCAGTCTCATTCTCAGTCAAGAATTGCTTTAAAGGTGCTGTATTCCCAACAACTATTTGGATATCTCCATGTGCAGGCTGACGAAGCAGCTGGTGAAGGCTGTCATCCATGCTTACTAGGACTTGCATGTTCCTATCATCACTTGCCACTTCAGCTTGAACTTCAGGTCCAACTGGAGTGTCCCCATTAAGCTGTGTGGTTCCTCCTTCTTCTTCCTGTACAATGACATACTGCAAACCTTCTTCATTACTTGTTAACTGCAATACAGCTCCAGTTCCTTCTTCGTTCAGGAGATGCTCTTCGGCAACACTGTCATCATCCAAATCCTCTGCATTGGCCAGACCTCCAGCTAACTGTAGGATAACTGCCTCCTGACACTGCTGAGTTTCTACCAAGTGGTCTCTCATCTCTTCCTCTGTCTGTGTGGCGTGCAAACAACCAGGACACAGCCATACATCTGCTGCCACTGCTGCAGACTCTACATCACTTGCTTCTTCATCAGCCATAACATGAAGGCGGAGCAGAGGAGTTAAGTCTTGCCAACTCAAGGTAGAAACTTGTTCCAGGAAAGTGTTAGTGGCAGCAGCTGCATCAGTAGCACTTCCTGTAACAGGAATCTCTGGCAATGTAGATGGTGTCGATCGTGTTTTAACAGCATGTCCTTGGGCCTGTACACCATGAGTAGCATGATCCTGCAAATGGCGTAATAAGGAACCTCTTACAACAAACATCTTACTACACACTGAACACCGCCAACGATTAACCACGAGCTGAGTTGTAGCATCATTAATTCCATGGTCAATCTGGATATGCCGCAGCAACTGATGTCGTGTTGCAGCTGTGTGTTGACAAATACCACACTCATATGGCTTTTCCTGTGTGTGAGTAAGGAGGTGTCTCTCAAGCTGAGCTTCACTCCGGAAAGGTTTGCCACATTCTGAGCAAGGAAGGGAGGACCCAGTGTTGTGCGTTGCCATATGGCGAGTCAAATCAGACTCTAAGCCAAACTTCCGATCGCAGACTGAACATTCATATTGCAATTCATGATGACGACGGGCAACATGAGTCCTCAACAAACTCTCTGACCGGAACATCTTATGACATCCATCCACATGGCATATATTAGGTGTATTCGGGTTATGTGTAACCATGTGTGCCTTCAAGTTAGCCTGCTTAACAAAGGCCTGGTTACATATATGACAAGTATGTGGAGTTGTCTCTGAATGATGCACCAGAAGATGATTAGTGAGTGCTTCTTTTGATGCATAAACATGGCCACATGCAGTACATGGAAACTCCCGCTTGTGTTTCTTTTTATGTTGATCAAGTTCTTGCTGTGTAGAGAATGTCTTCCGGCAGTAAGTGCACATCATCTGTTCATCTGAATGAGCTCGCACAAGGTGATCTTTCAACGGTCTCTGACGTTTAAACTGTTTATCACAAATGTGGCACGTATATGCTTTCTCTGCAGAGTGTGTTATCATGTGGTCATCATAACGATGACGCTCCACAAAGGACTTTTCACATAAGTTGCACTGGTATCTTATAACATTCTCATCCCCATGCTCTGCCCGCTGATGCTTCCTATAGTATTCTTGAGTGTCACACTCCAATCCACACTGCTCGCACTTCCATCGTTTCTGACACTTTTCCACATGTTCATTATAAAATCCAATAGATTTGAATTCTCTTTTACATACAGGGCATGGGCGGGCTTCTTTGAAATAGTGGCTCTTGTAGTGCTCTCTGAGATTGCTGGCCATCCCAAACTTGATCTTGCAGTCTGAACACTCAAGTGTTTTCACTTCCATGTGCAGCCACAGATGTTCTTCCAGTGCATAAATATTATCGTAGATTTCATGACAAAAATCACAACCAATCTTGGGCTTCTTTGGGTTCTTATTTCCCAACTTGAGAAACTCGTCATAATGCCTGTTCTTCATGTGTTTCCTCAGTAAGGTTCCCTGAGCATAGGCCTTTCCACAAACGTGGCACTTGTGTGGAAGATCT